TGAGCTGTCTAGCATGGAGGAGGTCTGGAGGGCTGGGCAGGTCAGCTGTCCAGCATGGAGGGGGTCTGGAGGGCTGGGCAGCGTGAACTGTCCAGCGGGAGGGGTCTAGGGGGCTGTGGGCAGGTCAGCTGTCCAGCATGGAGGGGGTCTGGGGGGCTGGGCAGGGTGAGCTGTCTAGCATGGAGGGGGTCTGGGGGGCTGGGCAGGTCAGCTGTCCAGCGTGGAGGGGGTCTGGAGGGCTGGGCAGGTCAGCTGTCCAGCATGGAGGAGGTCTGGAGGGCTGGGCAGGTCAGCTGTCCAGCATGGAGGGGGTCTGGAGGGCTGGGCAGGGTGAACTGTCCAGCGGGAGGGGTCTAGGGGGCTGTGGGCAGGTGGGGGCTGCACTGCCCCCCAGCCTGTGTCCTGAGCAGGTGGAGAGGGTCAGGTACAAAGGTGACCGGGGCAGGGCAAGGTCACAACGTCCTTGGCTCGGATCTGGGGCTACAGGGGTGGCAGGCGTGGCAGGGCCAGGCGGGTTCCTGGGACCTGGGCTGGGCTCCACCTGTCCGGTGGGCTGAAGGCCCCAGTGCTCTGGGCAGGGTGGGGGGGGCTGGTCCTGCCCGGCCAGAGCCTCCTCCACTCGGGAGGCTGGAGGCCCTGCACTTGTTGACTCCCATCTCTGCTGGAGGGGAGGGCAGGGCATTAGTTAGCAAAGGGCCGCAGGAATGGAAGACAAATCGTCACTAATCAGAGCGACTTGGGGAGGTGCTATTTCAGATGGAGAGCTGGGGGGCTGGCTTTCCCTTGTGGGAATGAAAGTTACACCCACTTAAAACTAGCTGCGGATGCGGCAGCCCTGTCTTCCTCTGGCACTGGCTGCACCTCGGAGAGCTGACCACGCACGCCGTGTGACAGAAAGGCGGCTAGGCCTGGCCACGCTGAGTAGTGGTGAGGACACTAGTGTCAGGAGAACGGGAGAGAGAGGAAGGAAATCACCTCCCAGCGTGGTGGGGGGGAGGCGTGGCGCGGTGAGGGGCCTCCTGGGAGGAGGAGCCTTGTCCCTGCTGCACCCACTAAAGGCCAAACCGGAGCCAGCCAGCAGGAGCTGAGGGACGGAGCCCGCTCCCCTGGGGACCCACGCCAGCACTGACAGACCTCAGGGGCCACGCCTTCACCGTCCAAACAGTGAGAGTCAGGGAGATTGATGCCAAACCCTGAGGTCCAGCTTCTCTTGAAAACGGGTCAGAAGCGGGCTGGGAGGGCAGCTCCCTGGTACAGCGCCCACCTGATGTGTGCAAAGCCAGGGGTGGACGCCCAGCACTGCAGGGAGAGGGAAAGAGGGGGGGAAAGAGGGAGACAGGGAGCGGGAAGAGGAAGAGGGGAGGGAGAGGAAAGGGAGAGAGAGGGAGGGATGGAGGGAGGGAAGGAGAGGGAGGGAGAGGGAGAGGGGTGGGGGAGGAGAAGGGGGAGGGAAAAGGAAAGAAGGAGGGATGGAGGGAGGGAGAGGGAGGCAGAGACAGAGGGGGAGAGATTCAAGGGAGGGGTGGGAGGGAAGTGGGCAATGGCTCGGCACTGCCCTGCCCCACCCCGCCTGTGTGTCCCTGCCCTGTGCACCCTGTCCCTGCCCAGCCCTGCCCCCTGTGTCCCTGCCCAGCCCTGCCCTGTGTCCCTGCCCAGCCCCGCCCCGTGTCCCTGCCCAGCCCTGCCCCCTGTGTCCCTGCCCAGCCCTGCCCTGTGTCCCTGCCCAGCCCTGCCCCCTGTGTCCCTGCCCAGCCCTGCCCCCTGTGTCCCTGCCCAGCCCTGCCCTGTGTCCCTGCCCAGCCCCGCCTGTGTGTCCCTGCCCTGTGCACCCTGCCCCTGCAGGACGCGGGGGCTGGCTCCAGCCTCCCGTGGGGTGGAGCGGGTCCCCGGCCCTTACCAGCCTGTGTTGAACTCCACGTGGGCATCGAAGAAGCCCACCACGGGCGCGGTGGCCGCCTTCCAGCCCTGCAGCCGCGCCCGGATGAGCCCCTCGCGCCGGCTGTTGCGCACCACCTTCACCAGGCCCGGGTAGCGCTTGTGCACGTACTGGTCCAGGCTGAGCTTGAGCTCCGCTGCGGGGAGAGGGAGGGCTTAGCACGCGCCGGGGGTCCACGCTGCGACGGCGGGCCTCAGCCCAGCGTCCACAATCCCTGAGTGTCCTTTGAAGCCCCACGGGGCTGGGCCGCACGGACAGCGAAAGAGAAAACCGGCCATGCAGAGAGAGGTCGGCACCAGAGCAGGAGAAAATGGGACCAGCTGTGGCCACGAGGAGATGAGCAGAATGGGGTCCATCACACGGGGGAGGTGGCTCGGCCTTAAGAGGGGAAGTCAGACACAGGCCACAACCTGGATGGACAAGCCAGTCCAAGGACAGTGCAGGCTGGCCACCGGAGTGGCCCCTGGAGCAGTCCAACTCGGGTCAGACAGCAAGATGGGGGCTGGGGAGGG